TATCTATCTAGGGGAAGATAACTCAATATACTAGGCAAACATGGGCTTACTTGTATTTACTAATCTGCAGTGAACCATTTCATACACTGATACATGTGAAACTCTTATTACTCACTACAGATTAGTACAAGTAAACACATGCTTATCTTGTTTACTGAGTACTCCATCCCTGTCAGGGATTGTATATTTACAATCTTTGGTTCTGTAGGAAAATCCTGCAGGGTTAGGAGAGAGATACCAGCCAGACCTAGAAGCAGAATCCTTGATGTGGTGAAAAAATGTGAATTTGCTAAATACAGATTAGTATTTACCTTTGATGTCTCTAATGCATAATTCAGCATTCTAAGGTATTATCCTCATTTCATTTATGGAGAAACTGAGGCTCAGAGAGATAAGTAACATTCTCAAGGTCTTGACCTGGGTTAATCACACTCAGAAACTAAGAGAAGACATTGCTCTGAAGGCCAGAACCCAAAAAAAGAGCCTCTACCCTTCTTACTGGGTGAAGTCAAGGGGAAAGTTAGGTCCAATTACCCTCACCCATAGGTTTATGAGCTGAAGAAAAGAGAGCTACTGAGATACAGGGAAGCCAGAGTCCACATGTTACTGGATTTGGGCCCAGAAACAGTAGCTCAGGGCCAGCCAGGGAACAGACAGCCAAGCCCAGTGACAGCTGCCAAGTCAACATGGAGAGTGACGTTCATCTCTCCCTCCCTTGTGGCATCCTCATTTCAATGTGCCTCCTCCTCTATCCCTTGTCCTTCCTCTCTTGTCCACTATACAGGTAGGACCAGCTCTGGTTGTAGGCAAGACATGAGGTCTTTAGATCCTTAGCCTTGTCATATATCATTTATCATCCATAGGCCGTGAACCATCATATCTGAAAAGTGCCATAGCTAGATGTTTGTGTCAGAAATTCCTGCCAATGGTGCAAGAGTTGGATGGGACCAATGACGTGAACTCTGATACCACGGAATGTACTGAGCACATGCTGAGTCAACAGAGTGATAACATGCCAAAAAGATAAAGATTTTAGTTATTTGTTTGTGTTTTGTTGATACACACCCCTACTCATTACCAAAGTTTTGAAGCTGCTGGCAATTAAATGACGATAGAAAAAAAAGGGGGTGAGGGAGAAACAGTATCTTAGGACCAGGGGAAAGAAGAACAGCAGAAAAACATGAAGCACAAGACCTGAAAGATAATCAAAGAGACAATCAGGGAACACAGGTTGCAATCATTGGACTTCATGTTGACTTTGGGTTTCCTGAAAGTCCATAAAGAGGAAAGTTCAGTCAGTTATATTATTGTCCTAATCAGAAAGAAGGAAGCAGCACACGAGACTCACAGAGAAAATTGTTTCCCAAACATCAAATTACAAAATAAATATCTCCATGTGGCTTTATGCAGAGGTATCCCAAATATATAGGCTTTGAAAGCCTGACAACATCAGTGGATTGAATTCAGAGTGATTATTATGAATCATTAAAATATTAACTAAAATGAGTAGTTTTTTGTTCTATTAAAGAGTAGGAAAAGTATAAAATATAGATGTTGTCATGTGCCGTTGAGTCATTTCTGACTCATAACGACCCTGTATAGGGTTTCTGAGGAGCAGTTGATGAGTTTGAACCACTAACCTTGCGGTCCAGTGCTTATCCTACAGTGTCACATCAGGAGTCCTTAAAGAAAAATAATCACCCATAACCACACCATCAACACTTGTATATTATTCCATGTTTTTATCTAGGCATATATTTACATGTATTTTTTAAACTGTATTTATGAGATCAAGGTATTTAATAAACTGATTTGTCATTTAAAAGGTATATCATACATGATACATATCACACACACATATATCCTTAGCAGTACATGTTCATTGACAATATAATGGGTATTAATGTGGTGTGGCTCTGTAGGATAACAACTGGACTACTAACCACAAGTTTGGTGATTCAAACCCAGCTGCTCCTCAAAAACCCTCTATAGGGTTGCTATGAGTCAGGACTGACTCGATGGCACTTACCAACAACCACCACCACCATAACTTACCAATCTCCTCTTGTACACTGTTTTGTTCATTTTAGAATTATAAACATCATTTCAGTAAACATCTCTATAGTTAAATGCATGCACGCCATACTTTTCTAAAGATAAAATTTTCGATACAACATTTTCTAGACAGACACATCCCTACTCATAAACCCTTTGCAGTACCACAGAGACCTTTCGGGTAGGTTAGAACCAGTGGCTTAGACTCTAGATAAAGAAAGGCATCACAAGACCTTCAGCAGTCTTTGGTCTATAGTACTTTTGTGGACTTCAAGATAAACATATCTGATTGAATGCATATACCTGATTTTATTTATTCCTGAAAACTTCTTAGAACAAAAGAGATTTTAAGAAAAAAACAAAACGAAAAACATAGACTCGCCGGGACTGGGAGCATGGAAGAAGAGATTTTGAACATACAATTACAAAAAACCAGAAAATAGACCAGTTGCAATTAATTTAGCAGGCTTTGAGAAAGCTGATCTTAACCTGTCAGTGGAGAAAGATGTATCCCATTGAATTCTAAGAAGCTAAGGAACTGGAGTAGAGCTACTATTGCCAGCCCATACTGGGTTTATGTGTGAATTAGAAACAGCCTCTCCTTTCTCAAGACACTTTAAAGTCATCTGCCAGAAATGTGTCATAACATATATGTATATATAAACCCATAATGTCTACAGTGGGACTCCTAGTGTGGTGCTATAGGATCAGCACTAGACTGCAAACCACAAGGTCGGAAGTTCAAACCCACCAGCTGCTCCTCGGAAAATTTATATACAGGGTCACACAGTTGTACTTTGATGTGGATGGGGTCACCAGGAGTTAGAGCTGACTCAACAGCAACTAGTTTACTGGTGTGACTGATAGGATATTGAGTAAGTGATGATAATATGACTTCTGAGGCTAAATCATAAAGGGCATTGTGGCTTCCATCTTACTTTGTTTTGGATCACACCCTCTGAGGGAAGACAGTCATCATATTCTAAGGACACTCAAGTAGCCCTGAAAGAAGTTCTCATAGGGAGGAAATAGCTATGCCCTTCCTGTTGGGGAAGCCCCAAGTTGCCAGCCATGTGAGTGAGCCTCCTCAGGTAAGTCTTCAGATGACTGCAACCCAAGCAACATCCATTGTTATTGTTGTTGTTAAGAATATACACTTGCTACATGTCCATTGTGAGTTACCCCAGAGCTCTGTTCCATGTTATCCTCATTCAAGAACTCAGGTTGAAGTTGCAGCCCCTACCTATCTGGAATAGCTGATTTTCCTGAAATAGATCACCATTCTTTCTTCAAAAACACCTCTAGGTGGTCTCAAACCTCCAAACTTTCTGTTAATAGATGAGCATATTAACGATCCAGGGACTTCCTTAACCACATAGGTTGACTCTAATCAATATGAAAGGGAGTACACAGGGTATGAATACTGGGAGCCAAGGATCACGGGGACCATCTTTGTAAATCCAATGATGAGTAAACAAATGAGGCACCTAACCTTAGGAGGCATTTAGTCTACAGTTACAATTTTTTGTTACAGGTGATAACAATGGAATTGAACCAAGAGAGTAGGTGATACCCTCCATTCCTAATGTCTTGTTACTTTATGGTGCAGATCATGTGTCTTTAATCACCAGATCACTAATCCACCTTGTCAGACTGGCAACTGGAATCCCTCAGTCCTCTCTCAGGGGCCTGCAGGGATCTCTCCTTGGATCCCTCCATTATCAGCTGCTTGTCATTACCCAGAAAAATAACCATGACCCCACAGCTCATATGCTCAGATAGAGAAGGCCCATGGTAATCCTAAGCTTGTTGTTTCTCTCCCAGAGTAACAGTGCCTCTGTCTGGGCTACTCCTTCAGAGAGTACAGGGTGTCCTGGCATAATGGCAGGAGAACACAGTGTACCTTGTAGGATCTGCTTTTCATCCTGTTGGGACAATCCCTTAACAGCAGCAAGGCTTTATGGGTACTTCTGACCTTTCCCTGTTGTGTTTTCTCTACCTAATCAGGATCATTCCACACACCAGAGACCTCAGGGGTAGTGACCCCTCTAAACATTCTCAGATGACTTCTGACCTTTGAGCTTTGGAGGACGGTGTTGAGGTGGGGCTAGTGTCCCATCCTGCCCACATTGGCGCTGGTCTGTCCTCGTTTCTGGCCAACAACCCATCTCACAGGGAAGCCCTTTATCTCCAGGTCACTCGAGGAGCCAGAGGTGGCCTGGGAGATTCAGGCCTGCAATGGTGCTGGGCTCTGGGAAAACTGTTAGGAGACACTACTGTGGTCTATGCTAGAGTCCAGAGAGCACCCTTCCTGGCAAGCACGGAAAACGCTAAGTGCACAGTTCTCCCATGTGTGCTAAGAGCTTCAGTCTTGTTAGGGGGCCACAACTACATCCTGGAGAAGCTCTGGTGAATAGTTACATTTTTTTACTTCTGGTTTTAAAAGTAGTAGTAAATGTGTATCTGAACAGCCCCACACCATGTAAATGTATAAAAAGAGTAGAATGGACAACCTCACCCTCCAGAGATGAGTCCTGAATGGTTTGTTAAGTTGACTTACAGATTTCTTTCTTGTATGTAAACCAGATGTGTTGTTGTTGTTGTTGTTAAGTGCCGTCGAGTCGGTTCCGACCCATAGCGACCCTGTACAGGGTTTCCAAGGGTGTAAATCCTTACGGGAGTAGAAAGATGTGTAGATTCAAATATAACTGGGTAGAACCCACGTGTCCCATCTGTAATGGGCATCCTTCCTCCTCTGTAGAGATTCCTGGGGGCTTATATTTCTCCTCATCACTCCCAGCTTATCCTAGAGGCACTGTAGCCTGGGAGGTAAGGACAAAGCTTGGTAGCTGCATGGTCTCAGTTCAAATCCCCATTCCACTATTGCTACATAGCTTACCTCGCTGTTGTGAACTGTATTTTCCTCATCAGTTGAATCTTTGATGCTACAGTCTGTTGTAAGGATTATGTGAGTCAATAGAATGCATATGTTGTTGTTGTTGTTGTTGTTGTTGTTGTTGTTGTTGTTGTTAAGTGCCGTCGAGTCGGGTCCGACCCATAGCGACCCTGTATAGGGTTGCAGTTGAACGGCTGGTGAGCTTGCCTGTTGTTGAACTTGCAGTTCAAACCAACCTTGCTGTCCAGCGCATTAACCCATAGCACCACACCAGGACTCCATAACACATATACGTTCTTTTAAATTTTTATTAGGGTGATATAAAATATAACAAAATACTTGCCATTTCACCCATCTTTACAATTGGCGGTGGTGGTGATATGCTGTGGAGTTGGTTTCAACTCATAGCAACCCTGTATAGGGTTTCCAAGGTTGTAAATCTGTACAGGAGCAGAAAGCCTCATCTTCTCTCACGGAACAGCTGGTAGCTTTGAACTGCTGACTTCTAACCACTACACAAAGCTGGTAGCTTTGAACAGGCCGACTTCTAACCACTACACTACCAGAGCTCCTTATCTTTACAGTTAGGTGAATTATACTTACCATGTTGTGGAACCATTTGATATGTTTCCTAATTTTTTTCTCACCCTTAACAGAAACTCAGCACTCTTTAAACAATACCTTCTTCCTCTCTTCCTGTTCCTTGTTATTGTTGTTAAGTGCCGTCTAGTTGTTTCTGACTCATAATGACCCTGTATAGGGTTTCCAAGGAGTGGCTAGTTGGGTCTGAACCGCCAACCTTTTGGCTAGCAGTTCAGTGCTTATCTAACGGCACCACAACAGAACTCCAGGTAAACTACTAATAAATATTGGTTTCTGTACAACTGCCGACTTTAGATATTTCCTATAAGTAGGATCATACAATGTTTTAAAAATACTTTATTGTGTTTTTGGTGAAGGTTTGTAGAGCAGGTTAGGTTCCCTTTCATCAATTTCTGCACAAACTGTTCAGTGACACCGGTTACCTTTGTCACAATGAGTGAATGTTTTCATTATTTCCATTCTGGCTGGCCCTTTTCCCCACTCCCTTGCATTTTCATCTTTGTTTTAAAGTAATTGTTAGCCATTTGGACTCATATGAGTGATTTTTTAAAGAAGCACAGCATTCACAGGTGATAATCGTTAGTTTGAGAGCCAATCTAATGTTTAACTATAAGGTGACCTCATACGTCAGTTTCAGTTCACATATTTGGTTTTTTTTTTTTTTTGAAGAATATCCTAGGACTGGGGAGCCCTTCAGTTTCAAACAGTCTAGTAAGTGAGCTGGTTTTGTTTTGCTTTAAGAAATTTAAGGTTCTCTACTTTTCTCCCGTTTTATTGTGGCCCTGATTAGAATGGTCAGTAGTTGTAGCTGGGCATCATCTAGCTCTACTGATCTCAGGGTAAATGAGGCCATACACTATCAGTCCTATAGACTAGTATTCTTTGATTTCCTTCTTCTCTCTCTCTTTATTTTTCTTTTGAACTTTTTATTGGGAATTGTGGAGTCCTGGTGTGGCACCGGGGCTTAATGTGCTGGACTGCACAGTTGGTTTGATCTGCAAGGTCGGCAGTTCAAACTCACCAGCCACTCCTAGGAAACCCTATACAGGGTCGCTACGGGTTGGAACCAACTCGACGGCACTTAACAGCAACAACAACAACACTGTGAATTGAGTCAAGGTTTACAAAGCATCAGTTTGACTCCATTTCCTTTCTGTGATTGCAATCCTCTCCATGTAACATCTGTTACTCCACTTTCTCCCTGTGATTCTTACTTCCTTTCTGCCCTCTGTCCCAAACCTCTGAACTTTCTCTTTAAGTAAATGCTGCCCTTTGATCTTGAATGGTTGGCCATTCCATGGTGAGCATACCTCACTAGTGTTGTCGTCTCCCCTTCCTTCTATTTTGCCCTATGCAAGTAGAAACCAATCATTGCATCTTAGATGGATGCTCACAAGCTTTTAAGACCCCAGACATTACTCACCAAACTAGGATGTAAAACATAAGTTTATGAACAACATTGTATCAATTGACTGAGAGATATTTTCTGTAGGATAAGCTCTGGACTATGAACCACAAGTTCAGTGGTTTGAGTCCACCAGCTGTTCCACTGAAGAAAGATGAGACGTTCTACTCCTACAAAGATTTACAGCCTTGGAAACCCCACACAGAGTCTGTATGAGTCAGAGCCAACTCATAGAGACTTTGTATAGTGATGTTGTTGTTAATTGTCATGAAGTCTGTTCTGAGTCGTATCGACCCTGTATAAGGTTTCCAAAGAGTGACTGGTGGGTTTGAACTGGTCGGTGGTTCAAATCCACCAGTCACTTCTTGGAAACTGTAATTGTTATGAGTTGGAACAGACTCAAAGGCACTTGTTGCTGTTGTTGTTAAGTACCGTGGAGTCGGTTCCAACTCATAATGACCCTACACAGTGCTTCTGAGGCTGTAAATCTTTTTTTTTTTTTTTTTAATGTTTTATTGTGAATTTTGTGATAATTTACATGGGAAAACATTAGCTTTACATTCATCCTATCGTATATAATTTCATTGCCATGGTTATAATCCCCTCCATGCATCATCAACCAACCAAAGGGTATACCCTACAAGCCTGCACCCTGGTTGTCAGCACATAGCCCCTCTCTCTGTCTCTGGGTCTAGAGTTCCCAGATGCTCCATCTCTCCACATCATCATCTCTGCCTCCATCTCTGGCATCACTGCTTCTCTGGGTAGGGTCCCGCTCTCCGCTCTTCTCCCTTGATGGTTCCAGGGACCACAGTTCCTGGACTGCATTGTCAGTCACTCCCCTCCTTTTACTACAAAATGTCCACCTTTACATTTCCAACCCTCACAGGGTTGGATACCAACAATTATTCACTGTTGTACCACAAGAGACCTATCCCCATCTCCTTTCATGAGTCCTGCCCAGACAGATTGGATACTACTCAGTAGAGATTCTACCTTCCTCTGAGCCCTCTTGAAAGCTTTTAAGCCAATCACTTCTTGCCTTTGTAGCTCCCCCATTTTGGGTAGTCAATGTCCAAGTTGCCAATCCCTGTCTACTCTGTGTACCGAGGGGGTGGGAATGATCCTTGCTGTAAAGATTTGTTCCCTCTTTTGAGCTA